GGTATTTGCTTTATTTACATAACATATAGCTGCATTACTGTACAACCCTCGTTCATATTCAGATTTTAAAGTATCTTATATCATCAACTTGTTTGGGTGTGTATAACCTGTGCAATCTGTTTTCTAACTCCTGCAACTTATGTCCAAAAACTCAGAGAGATTTGCCCCATTGCTGAGTTAAATTGCACATCTATGTTAAAATTACAATTGTTGTTTCTTGCTTCCTATATTCCTCTACTAACCTACATACTAGATACTGAAAATCTGTGGTTCCATACAATTTGCTATAAGCCCTAATAAAGCATTTTGCATCTTCTCCTGTTCATAATCTTAATATATCTGCCTTCTGGGCATCAGTCCAGCCCAATATTCTGGGAGCTTCATTTCAGGCATCAATAAAGCTCTCATAATCCTCGTTCAGTCTACCATGATATAATGGTATAGGCCTGTTAAATGTGTAACACTGCATGGACTAATTCTGTGGGTTGCTCTGCTGCCACTTCATAACTAGCATCAGCCCTTCTATCGACTCTAGGGTGTGCACCATCCTCTCTTGTAGTCGTGTCTACACCAGCAGTAGCCATATTCGCTTACTTACTACTTATTTTTAACTTACACTTCTTATATTACTTTGGCTGACTTTCTTACTTTTAATCCTTTCTTTACTCTAACCAAACTGTTGTTAGCTACTCCAAAAAATTCTCGAGACTGCGCTAGTTGTAACGAACAGCGCCCTTAGGGCTAGTTGTTGGAGTTTCAACTATACTGCCAATTACACCAAATTCATTTAGTTGAGGATTGCAGTGGCGAGTGCAGTTCACAAGTCGCTAACTCGAGGTAATTTACAGTTAGAATAAATAAATTAATTCCAAGACTAACATTGAACAAAATACAGCACCATTTATTAGGTCTTTCCACATAGTATACACTGTTAATTAAACATTTACTAAAACGTTAGTTTCTCGCAACTTTACTTTTCACCTTTCAGTTAACACTATTAATCAATACATATAGAATATTTCTGTCTAGTATAAACATTAACTTCCTTTAGTAAACTACATTAATTGAACAATAGAGATAGCAAGTCTATACTTACAACAAAGTTGGACTGGTATACTTCTGGAGGTTAGAACCTTCATATTCATAGTCACTTAAAGAATTCTGGTTTGGAACTATTATCAGCTCTTTGGAGAATCTCAATTCTTCCTGGAGAACTCTCTGATCTTTAGCTTCAGACTATAATTTTTCTGTATCCTTTTGATCTTCCAAATAGTATTCCTAACTACCCGCAGACAGTTTTAACAATTTATTGATCAATCTGTGCAACTTCCTAATCCAAAACAAGAACCAAAACTCTCAAGTAATTGGTTACTGTGATGGTGAGTGCTCCGGTTGCCTTTTTACTAGTACTATTACATTGGTCTGGAGTAACAGATCTCACATCAAAGCACCAATTTGAGATGCTATCATAAACTCTTTAGTGTCAATAACTTAATACTGTCAAACTCGTGACTAGCATTTTTCTCAATGTTGTTGCTGTAGTTTCATTTTTTATAACTCTTAACTTGTGATTCTCAATACTAACTAACCCTTTAATTGGGTTTCGCCTAGTTCTTGACCTAATTTCGTAATACAGGTGCCCTTACTTAAGCCATTTCTACATGTATGTGTATCACACTCAGAATATTAAATCTCTATAGTAATAAGAAACATTTTGTTAACTTCATAACTGGTGGTTTGATTATTCAGAATATAATATTAAATTTTTAATTATCAAGTATTTGTGTTTTTATCGGAATTCCATATAAAAATTAACAATTTCTTCCCAAAATGGTCATAAATTGCATGTTTATAATTTTTAGTATAACTTTCCCATTTTGTATTTTTTCAAGTATTACCATTTCTTTGGTTAAATGACTGACTAACATATAAGTTTGAGTAATACATAATATTCCATTTTTTAATAAATGTCTTTTTCTTCAGCCATTATGTACCTCTCCATTTGACTAATATTACATATATATATATATATATGTAGTTTCCACCAATTATTACACATTTATCAGTTTGAATAATTAGTTTTCTTCGACTATTACATGATTCTCCTTTTGAGTATCTTATAGTTTTTTCTAGTTTTACATAATCCTTTGCTTGACTAATGTTTATTTTTTTTTTAGTTTATGTAATTCTTTGTTTAACTGGTGCATATTTTTAGACCATTACATAAGTTTCCTTTTTGTTCATGTATATTTTTTATCAACTGTTACATAATCCTCTGTTTGACTATTTCATTCTTTTTTACTTTTAAGTAAAAAAGCAGTTATATATTTGCAGAGCAGAGACAAACTAAATACATGTTTAATGTATAGTTTTCAGGTTAAAATGATTTCTCCTTAGAATGGCATGATAGGATAACAGGAGGTTCAGTAAAAATATTTATCCTGAAGTAATTCTGAGTGACCAAGTTCATGATAAATAAATAGAGACTGGACACATATACAATGGGCAATCTTTATTCAAATACAAACGAAACTGTGTTTACTTGCTTGATAAGGAGTTGTTTTTAATAGATCTAAACTACTATTTTCTTTCCAGATTATCTTGTTCCAGACTGACAAAAACTTGTATTACTTAGTTAAAATGGTAATATCAGATTTACCAGAATAATTAGTTCTAACAAACTAACTGATCATTCCCACTAGAAAATAAAAGAAGTCGAAATCTCGAGATCACAGACCTATAGGTCTGTGTTAAAATGTGTATTACCTGACTTACCATTGGAGAAAACTGTTATCCACTATCATAAACAAAGTACAGTTAATTCTTCAAGGGTAGACTAGGTGTTATCTCTGTGG